TCTGGATCCGCCCTTGCGGGCAACTTGCATTTTAATCCGAAGGATTCTTGTAAATAGCGTATGAATAATTGATGCCCGGCGTCATTTAAAAGCTACTTTACTCTCAGGCAATCCAATGTAATTTCCAATATTTGAATAAATCACGTTATTAGGGTGATTGGTGGTTGTCCGGATAAAATACCGGGTGTGCTAGTGAAGGAAACTACAGTTTCCCTTAAGAGGAGCAGTTGGGGCATTTTCCAAGTTGCCAACGTTGAAAATTCCAATGTTCTTGCTCCAAGGCAATAAAGCATATTTTGATTTGTTTTTTGATTGAAAGAGTTTGTTGCAAGCAATTTGGCAGTGACTTCCCAATGTACCTCGGAAGCTATTACTTTGAAATAACACAAACTTGCCGGAAACGCAATGTTTTTTCCAAAAACAGCATGTGAATGAGCTGAGAACCGGCTTGTAGACACTCAAGTTGCTTGATTAGAACTTCTGCTTTTTGGGCTCACCCTGTTGGCTTCTTCATTCGAGCGCCTACACGCCCCCTAACAGCCCAACCATCCAATCACTGACAAGAACATTACTATCATTAAAAAGCCATAAGTTCCGACCGCCCAAACAGTCACTGATTCCCGACCTCTCCCATCATGTATATTGTAAGTATCCTGCTGCTGCTGGCGCAGTCCATCCAGAGTTTTCCCCAGCCTGGATATCCAGCGGAGGAAATGATCCGCCACTATTTGTCCAATGGCAGTTTCCATCTGCAAAACAGCCGGAACACCATTGCTCTAGTGAACGCCCATCTGGTGGGCGATGTTGTGCCCAAGTGGAGTGTGCAGATTTTCAATGGAGGGCCCATGAGGGAGCTGGTGAAGCTGCACACTCGCTTCGAGCATGTGATCGTGTTCCTACAGGATTTGAGGGAGCTAAACGGGACATTGCAGGAGTTCCTCGATCAACCCGCCGTTTGGTTCAGTGAGATGCAGTTTCATGTCTTCATCATCGACTGCTGGAGGGTTTCGCCCAAGGCTCTGAAGCGCCAGATGGCGCTTCTTTGGAACCAACACCGGCTGGTGAACTTCCGGATTGTGATCTGGGAACAGTCCGAGAAGAGGATGCAGGTGTTTTGGTACAGTCCTGGGCAGGAGCGCTTGTTTAACCTCACCAAGAGCTTCAGCTCCCAGATGGACACCGTGAGGAACTTAGCAGGTTCCAATCTGACAGTATCGGTGATCACTCTTGGACCAACTGAGGCAGTTTATGAGAATGAGGTTTGCACTCAAGGGCGACTGTGTGTGATGTTGAACGGTTTCTTGCGCTACATAAAAGCGGGTGGAGCCTTGGTGGTGCCGGAATCCAACATTTCCATGATGTTTCGCGTGTCCAAGAAGCTGGTAATGGAGGGCAAAGCGGATATTTCATTCGGCAGTCACTGGCTGCGCGAGGATCACTTGATGTTCTCCACCTTCTCCTCTGAGCAGGCGGCGGTGGTCGCCATGGTGCCCCGGGCCAAGCTCAGGCCCATGCTGTTGAATGTTGTCTACATCTACGACCTCTACGTGTGGTCTCTGATTGTTTTTCTTCATGTCTTCTTCCGCCTCCTCCTCAGTTACTCCAAACTCTTCTTGAAGGGGAGTTTGAAGATGCTGCTGCTGAGCAGCTACATCTTCTCCATCTACTTCCAAAGCACCTTCCAAGGGGCCGTGATTACAGCCTTGACCTCACCGAAGTATGAGCGCGATATTGACTCAGTGGATGATTTGATGGAGAGAGGACTGACCATATATGGGGAAGATGATTGGGCGTTTCTGATAAGCTCCAAACTCAAACTCACGCACATGTCCTACTTGGATCAAGGCGTAGAGCTGGGCTCTACCAAGGCCCAGCAGGCCTACTTGCTAACGGACTACTGGGCAAAGGAGTTTCTGCTCTTTCAAACGCCCGATGGACTCTTTTTCGCCAACTACTACCATATTGTGAACGAGCCCATTGGGATGGGACGAATCACCTACTACATCCGAAGAAACTCCCCCTATCGGGAGGCTTTCAACAGTTTCCTCTATCTGGTCAACGACTATGGTCTTAACATGATCTTTGGGGCCAGGGATTTTCGGTTTGTGGCCGATAAAACAGTGACCAGGCTGTCTTTGAAGCATTTCCATGGCGCGTTCGCTCCCCTGTTTTGCGGATTGGCTGTGGCCACTTTGGTGTTTTTTGTTGAACTCTTTTGGATGAAACCCACCTTTTAGGGTCAATTTTGTGACTATTTTTGCTGTATTTTCGTAGAAGAATTATCAGTTAATAAAGGACACATAAGGTGTTGGTTTAGTTTGAAGTTTTGTTGGCTCCAAATAAAGCCCACTTTGTGCTTGAGGTGGATTGGTTTTTTAAGCTGCTTTTGCAGAACATATCAAGCTGCACGAGATCAAAGTTTTGTGATAATTTCCATTCAAATAACTGGGTTTTAGACTAAGTTGATGGAATAATGCAGATTTTTACAGAGCTACCGCTGTACCGCTAAGCCATTAGGCCGGCCATCTACTGTTAAACACTGTTGGAAAAAATCAGACTTTAGTGCGATTGAAGTGGAAATTTATGCGCGGTCAGCCAGATGAGTTTTCTATAGGGTGTGAAAGTTTCAAGTTGCTACTTGCTCTAAATGGGAAGTTATGAATTTTTAAAGGAGAGCGTGCAGTTGAGGAAAAGTTCGAATTTTCCGTCGCTCTTAATAGCGCAATCAAAGTGAAACATTCACAGATCATGGCATATTTTGCGAATGGTTTGCTTTGATTCTGCAGGATTTTCACGTTTTATGACAATTGAGCAAACAATTGATCGGAGAGCGAGTATTTAATTTAGCATTGAAGTCGCCCCGTGAACGGCAATATTTGTTTATCTTTACCCGAGAGAGCAACTTTGTTTACGCTAAATATCCAAACCAGTTCGATGGCGGATTGGAAATTTCTACAAAATCAGTAAGAAAAAAACTGAAATCGAACAGCATAGTAATACAATGAATCACCCAAAGGGCCAGCGAGCAAACGCTTCTATCGTTATGCAAGTTCTGTGGCTCGGTGCGGTTTTTATGTGATTTGAATTTATCAAATTAATTTTATCGGAGAGCTGAACCTTTACTTCAGTCTGTTATAGGCAAGGGACTAAATCGGTCGTGGGTTCTTTGTTCATAAACGGGATAAAAGTACCAATTTAATGCCATTTAGGCACCAACGGTGCACCATCTTGCCTGTTAAATGCTGAATGTAATCCACATTTATTTTTAGTTTTGTGTGGATTCTCATTGTGTGTTCGTGTAGTTTGTGCTTTTGGGGTTTCGGGCGGAATCGGGCTTTCGCAGAGGTAAACCACAAGTCTGTTAAAAATTAAAGCAAATTCTTTTTTGCTAAACGATTCGCATTAGGGATTTTCAGGGGTTGGAATCCGCCTGAATAATTGCATTTTTATTGTTTATTACTACTTATTGTTTATTGCATTATTGGGGGAGAGCACGTTAAAACGTTGCATTTGATCCTGGCCCAACCATTTAGATTTCGGGCTGTTTTTCAAATTTAAACAATTTTTTTTTAGCTAAACGATTCGTGGTAGGGGTTTTCAGGGGTTGGGATCCGCCCGATAATTGCATTTTTATTGTTTACTACTACTTATTGTTTATTGCATTATTGGGGGAGAGCACGTTGAAACGTTGCGTGTGATCCTGGCCCAACCATCTAGATTTCGGGCTGTTTTTCCAAATTTAAAAATTTAAACAAATTCTTTTTAGCTAATCGATTCATGGTAGGGGTTTTCAGGGGTTGGGATCCGCCCGATAATTAAATTTTTATTGTTTATTACTACTTATTGTTTATTCCATTATTGGGGGAGAGCACGTTAAAACGTTGCGTGCGATCCTGGCCCAACCATCTAGATTTCGGGCTGTTTTTTCAAATTTAAAAATTTGAGCAAATTCTTTTTAGCTAAACGATTCGTGCTAGGGATTTTCAGGGGCTGGGATCCAAATAGAAAGCTTCGCCGCTCAGGCCGCATGAGCGCTGCAAATAGAATTGGAGGTCCACAGATAACAGAGTGCAACCTCTGTGATCTGTGGTATTTACTTTTGACGATCCAGGTTATGTTTCCGCGACACATTTTGCAAAGTTATGTAAAACTTGAAACAGTTTATTTGATGAAATAGTGATTGTTATGACGGTGTTGGAGTATTTTTCGGGGCTGGCCGAGAATCCGTACTTTGGGGCCGGTTTCGGGTTGTTCGGCGTCGGAGCGGGGGCCGCAGTGCTACGCAAAGGCTACCAAACGGGCTTGATACTGTTCCGAAGACACTACATGATCACTCTGGAAGTGCCCTGTCGGGATAAGTCCTATCAGTGGCTGCTGCACTGGATCACCACGAAAGGGGCGCGCCAGACGCAGCATTTGAGCGTTGAGACTAGTTTCGAGCAGAAGGACAGTGGGCATGTGAAAACCAAATATGACTTCATTCCCAGCCTGGGCACGCATTTTTTCAAGTGAGCCTCATAGAGCCCGGTCTGGTTGAGACTGTCCGAATGCTTTTAGATATGGACGGACTTGGATAAGAGTGGAGCGAACCCGCGAGCAGCACACACTGGATCTTCACATGGGGATCCCATGGGAAACTGTGCAAATGACGGCGTTCGGCACCAATAAGAACGTCTACTTCAGTATTCTAGAGGAAGGTGAGGCTGTGGCAACAACCAGCTAGTGTGTGGTAGATTTGGGATGTTAGCTAGGCATATGGCGCTGAAGCAGCATGAAGGCAAAACCATAATGTACGCGGCCATGGGCAGCGAATGGAGGCAGTTTGGCCATCCTCGGAAGAAGCGCCCCATCTCCTCAGTTGTCCTGGACACTGGAATCAGCGAGAGAATATTGGGGGATTGCCAGGAGTTCATTAACAATCCGGCCTGGTATTCGGACAGAGGAATACCGTACAGAAGAGGTAGACAATTGCACATCACTAAACAATATTCGGAAAAACCTGCGCCTTTATAGGATACCTGCTCTATGGGCCGCCAGGCTGCGGCAAATCCTCCTACATTACGGCCCTGGCAGGCGAGCTGGGGTTCTCAATCTGCGTTCTGAACCTCTCAGAACGGGGCCTAACAGATGACCGCCTCAATCACCTGCTGAGCGTCGCTCCTCAACAGAGCATGATTCTCCTGGAGGACATTGACGCGGCCTTTATCTCCAGAGAGGACACCGATGCGCAAAAGGCCGCCTATCAAGGCCTGAATAGAGTCACTTTTAGTGGCCTGTTGAATTGCCTGGATGGCGTGGCCAGCACTGAAGCCCGAATGATGTTCATGACCACCAATTACATTGATAGGTGCGTGTAGAGGCTCAGAAAGCTTCATTGTTGCTTAAGGTAAATTGCAGACTGGACCCGGCGCTTATCAGGCCTGGAAGGGTGGACCTTAAAGAGTACATTGGCTGGTGCTCCAGGACTCAGTTGGAGCAGATGTTTATGCGTTTTTACCCCGGCGAGAATGCGCTGGAAGAGTCGAGGCGCTTTGCGGATAATGTTCTAGGTGAAGGAAAGAACGTGAGCCCTGCCCAGATTCAAGGCTTCTTCATGTTCCACAAGCACTCGAGCTCGGACGAAGTGATCAAGGACTACCAACTTATCTGGAAGCTGTGAGCCAGCTACTTTATTTTACGGTAAACGAATGTTTAGCAATCATTTTTTCTTTTTTTTGCCCCTTTTCTCCTTCTTCTTGTACTTGCCAAAGCCCTTCCTCACCATGGTTCCGCGCCACCAGGCCTGGATCTTCGTAGCCGCTCGGTCCTTTCTGTCCTTTTCCAGCCGTTGCTTTTGCTGCTCGACTTTGTGCGCTTGGTAGCAGTCGATTTCTTCCTGCCGTTTGATGTACTGGAATTAATTCAGTTTATTAACACATTTTAATTAGATGTTGGGGATTTGGATGCCTTCATGATCATCTGCGCCGTTTTCTCTTGTTGCTGGTCCTTGGCCTCTTGTAGATGGGCGATTTTGTTGCCGATGGCTTGCAGGTCGTTTTCGTACTTGATTCTCCAGTTTTTCAGCTGCTTTTGCAGGTCCTGCAAATTTGGAAGCTTGGCTTGCTGGAAGCAGCAAAAAAGGCGCCTACCATTTCGATTTCGTTGAAAATAGTGCGCGTTTCCAGATGAACGCGGGTTTCTTTGCAAAGCTCCAGTCGCTTATCTTCGATTGACTCAACTAAAAGCTCGGTTTTCTTGCTCAGCTCATAGCCAGCGGTTTCTAGCTGGGAATTTTGCCAACTGGCCAAATATGCGCTTTTGCTGGCGGCTTCTTGACGAAAGTCCTGCAAAAACCCGCAAATTGCCCATTAGTTTTACGCAAAACCAGTGCGATTGCACCTCAATTTCGTCCTTCAGATTGCCAATTTTTGCCATTATTTCGGCAGTTTGCCCCTTAAAAACCAGGCGTTCTTCATAGAATAGATCTTGGAGCTCCACATATTCTTGCTCCCGGGCTTTGGTTGTTCGTAGCAGATCTGCTTCTTCCGATTGGAGCTTGCGGAAAATGTCCGTCACCTTGGACAAGCAATTGTAACTGCCGCCCTGCAGAATTTCCTCATAAGTTTTCTGGATGGTTGATTCAATGAATGAACAGTCGCGCTGAAAGTCCCGCAAATCCACACTGTCTTTGGAGTCCGCAGGAAGAACATCGTCGTTTTTTATTGCAGTGGCTTGTTCTTCCACAGTCCGGTATTCTACCACGGTTTGGTCCGTTGTTGACCACCCGTTTATGTGCCTTAGTATGGCCAATTTGTCCAGGCTTTCACTGAGGATACTTTGAACAATCTTCCTGGAAATTCCATCTAGTTTGGCCATTTTAACGCGCGATTATCGATCAAACTTGTGCTTTAGAAACTGGGGGTTGGCAACGCATTAGAGACTGATTAATGCTTATTAAACATTTTTTTTTGTACATTTTTGCCGTTTTTTCACAGTCCATTTGGCTTAATATATAATTCCAAATCAGAATTAATTCCTGGGTTTCAGTGATTTATTGTCTCTATTTTTCACTTAAAATACGTTTCGGTGTATTTTTCCACCATCATTTTTTTCTAAAATAACAGATAGTTATAAAAAATTTCATTAATTTAAAAACCAATCACAGTTCGTCAACAGCCTCATCATATCACACACTAAAATACATCACAATTGCAACACTTTTAAATATTCTAAAATTAATTAGGCCTAACAGGTGATTAGTCAGGACAATCAAATGTGGGAAGAGACTAGAATTCTTTGTTCAGATACTCAATTATTTTTACTTACATGTGTAGCGTTGTTGCTACTTTAAGCCTTGGCATACACTTGGAGTATTAATTTTGTCCATTTTGGACACAAAGCGAAATACTGTTTATATTGATTTCTTTTACTTTCGGCTATTTTTCTTTGCATTCTGAGAATATTATTTTTGGTTTGCAAAATTCTTCAATATACCGGGTGTTAGTTAATATTCTATGTTTATTTCATTTAATTAATGTATGATATACTGAGCTAAGATTGTCGGTATCCGATCTGAAATTCATAGCATTGTTATGTTTTTTTAATCTGTATCATTTCATGGACTCTTCTCTTATTATAATTACTCTCGTTAATCAGTATTTGTGTGTTATCAAAATCAAAATTATGCAACTTCT